TAGCTACATTGAAAGATAAGAAATGCAAGTCATGTGAAGAAGTGTACCATTAGGCCAGATTTAGAGACCATGCCTTCTACACCAGTCGCTCGCTGGCGAAGGCTTTCATTTGCAGAATTTTGTTCATTCGACACGTAATATAAATTATGATACGTAAAATGAATTAAACATCTAGTTATTGTTAAATTCCTTCCATCCCGAACTATACGTTCAGAAAAATCTCTTGCAATTAAATTAAGATGCAAGGGCGCTAATTACAGGGATTGAAGCCTTAAGCAATAGTCAAGACAATATGCAATCGAATATATATATATATATATATATATATATATATATATATATATATATATATATATATATATATATATATATATATATATATATATATATATATATATATATATATATATATATATATATATATATATATATATATATATTGGTGTATACTGGCAGCAGGTTTTCTTTCAAACATGTTTCATTGAATATGACCGCATATTCTGTATTTATTATTTTCTGGTTTAGGGCTTCTATCCCTCTAACTATTTTCTTAGCACCAGGGCTTAATTGGAATAGGAGTTCTCCAAAACTCATTTTCGTACTTTTAAGGTGAAGAAAAGAAGTGATATTCAGAAGAATATCACTTCTATCAGAAGATAGAAGTGAAAAGAAGCGGTCATATTCAATGATATATATATATATATATATATATATATATATATATATATATATATATATATATATATATATATATATATATATATATATATATATATATATATATATATATATATATATATATATATATATATATATATATATATATATATATATATATATATATATATATATATATATATATATATATATATATATATATATATATATATATATATATGTATATATTTATATATATATATATATATATCGTACCTAGTAGCCAGAATGCACTTCTTGGCCTACTATGCAAGTCCTTTTTTTGTAACACGGGGGGGGGAGGTATTCATTCTCTACTTTGTCTCTTTGTAACTTCGTTTTCTCTGTACCCCTCTCTTTACCCGTATTCTACTTTAAATCTCCATACCAAGGGACTCCAAACCTTTACTTGAACCGACCCCACGCCACGTGGTCTTATGACGATTGACCGACTTAAGATTTTACAACCCAGTATGACGTGAAACAGACTTCTAGCAAAGCTCTAGAGTCGCCTCTGCTGCCACCACCAGACCAGTAACACTGAGCAATGATCGAGGTCTGGATCGATCATGCTACTCAATAAAACTTTTGGGCTTGATCCCCACTAGAAAGAGATGACTCAGATATCCGTAAGTGTGGAATTAATTCATAATCAAGGGAATACTGAATTACGATTCGGTGTTAGATTCGGAGCCCAACTCAACTCGGCCTCGCCGGCTACCCACGTGGTACGAACCAATTCACATAAATTACACAAAAAATGGAAATTAATAAAAAGACAATTTAATAGCTAAATGGTTTATTCAAAAACTAAACAAAATCTAAATACCTTCACTCCCTAACCTGAACACTCCCTGACTTGACCATATCGGCAATGAGTTGACCTATTCCCTATAACAAAACTCTGAGCAAACTTTACCTTTGGCGACCAGCTAGATGTTTGTGCTAAGGTCTTGGGGAGAGGTGGAGTGGACACCTATCCCGGGTTGCTCCGGATACCACACTGTCCTTCCCTGGCCCTGCTCCACACAGAAGCCAGAGCACGGTATTCTTCCGCCTTAGTTTTATCAAGTTACTAGCAAGGCCTAAGTTTTAACAACTAACCTCTGTTGCACTGAATGATCCAGATTGGTTGAATTATTTTAACTGAAGTTAATTACACAAGTATCTTAGGGAAGAACTATTCCCAATTACAAAATGACTATTTGACCTTTGAGAAATAGTGGCTATGGAAACTCTGCTGACCTGTGACCTCAGGTCGTCCAAATTGTTCCGCGCTACTGCCTCGTCCTGGCTCGTGACGTCACTGGTGGTGACTTAACTCATTCTCCTAATAATTAGAATACTCTTGATATTATAACCAGTAATATTATACAATTTGAATGGAGACTAATGTCTTCATTCATTAGTTGTGTTTGCGGGGGTTTAGCTTTGCTCTTTCGGCCCGCCTCGCAACTGTCAATCAACTGTTTACAAACTACTTTTTTTCCCCACACCACACACGCACACACCCCAGGAAGCCGCCCGTAACAGCTGACTAACTCACAGCTACCTATTTACTGCTAGGTAACAGGGGCATTTAGGGTGAAAGAAACTTTGCCCATTTGTTTCGGCCTGGTGCGGGAATCGAGCCCGCGCCACAGAATTATGAGTCCTGCGCGCTATCCACCAGGCTACCTTTGTATGTGTTTGTGTGTGTGTAAATACATAAGAGGAAATCATTTGGGGCAATGGTAATTTGAACCGGCGGTATGGTGATACCGAGACACCTGCCTTAACCCATTCATCCACGATAAGGCAAATGTCAATCTATGTGCAACTATGAACCAAATCTAACTTAACTTAGTAATTCATACCGTCAATTTAATGTTATTATTGACTGACACGAAACAATTTGGAAAGAAATATTGTACACTAATAAAAATCGCTCTACCTGTTAGGCAAACCGGGCTTTGCTTACTAGGCCAATTAGTGCGCTTTTGGTTATAAGGTACCACACATCATACTGGTGGAGGGTACGGATGCAGGAATGATCAATTGTTGGTGAGGGAAGTGGAACACAGCTGAACTATTTCTGGTGGTATATGGTGCTGCAAGGCAGAAGTCTGTTCACTTGTGTGTTTGAGAGTCTGTTCACCTTTGTGTTTGGGAGTTGGTTCACCTATATGTTTGGAATTCTGTTCACCTTTGTGTTTGGGAGTTGGTTCACCTATATGTTTGGAATTCTGTTCATCTGTGTGTATGGGAGTCTGTTCCCCTGTAAGTATGGAAGTCTGTTCACTTGTATATTTGGGAGTCTGTTCACCTGAGTGATTGTGAGTCTGTTCATCTGTGAGTTTGGGAGTTTATTCACCTATGTGTTTGGAAGTCTATTCAGCTGTGTGTTTGGGAGTCTGTTCACCTGAATGTTTGGGAGTCTGCTCACCTGTGTGATTGTGAATTTGGTTACCTGAGAGTGGTGGTGGTGTCCTTGGCAGGTAGGATGATGAGTCGGCCGCCGCCAGAAGAGCAGGAGGAATATGAGTCCATTGAGGAGCAGCAGGGAGACTCCGAGGCCCACCGTCACCAGTAAGGCGGTGGAGTAGCGAACATACTCGTTCGAGTCCGTCACCGGCATCTTGGGTGCACTACTGAAGACGCATTACATTATTAACTTTAGCATTTGACTATGATTTTCCTGCATTAATCTATCCTGTGTATCTGTTTACATTATTGATTGTTCGAGGGAATTTTCCGGGGAAAACACCAAGCTATTACAACTATATAGCACTGGGAAGGGGTCAGGATAAGGATTTGGGATAGGACGGGAGGGGGGGGGGGGAAGAATGGTGCCCAACCCCTTGGATGGTTGGGGGATTGAACGCCGACCTGTATGAAGTGTGACCGTCGCTGTACCATCCAGCTCAAGTGGTTGGAGTATTGATTGTTTGAGTGTTTGAGGATGTGTTCGAACTTTAGCTTGTGATGATAACTCACCTTGCGATTGTGGGTGAGACTGCCAGAGTAGTGGTGACCCTGGGTGTGGTGGGCTTGGGCGAGGGCGTGGCGGCCGTGGTGGTGGTGGTGACCCTCGGAGCGGCGGTGGTGGTGTTGGGATGCAGGAAGTACCAGGGGTCCGGAGGCTTGACGACGCCGTAGAAGAGGTTGGGGTCGACGCTCACCTCCCAGGAGTTGGGGTCCGGAGGGTAGGTTTTTCCTGCAGCCTCTAGCTCCGGGACCAGCCACGACCACAGTGCCAGCTGGTGGGCGCGGTACTGAGACCCAACCGTCGGTGGCACTCCTGACAGGCAACAGATATATATCAGTCACCTGTAATCCTGATTTACGATTCAACATGCACCTGTGTTTAAATAGATTATGGAAGTCTTGCAAGGTGGTAAAAGGTAGGAAAAGTGGTGAATGGTAGGGAAGGTTGTGAATGGTAGGGAAGGTTGTGAATGGTAGGGAAGGTTGTGAATAGTTGGGAAGGTTGTGAATGGTAGGGAAGGTTGTGAATGGTAGGGAAGGTTGTGAATGGTAGGGAAGGTTGTGAATGGTAGGGAAGGTTGTGAATGGTAGGGAAGGTTGTGAATAGTTGGGAAGGTTGTGAATAGTAGGGAAGGTATTGAAGATTAAAGGAGATATATATGTGGAAGATCGTCAAGGATTTATGACGACGACCGTCAGGATCGTTAAACGTTTTGACCTCAGGTACTGCCTGTTACTCACTGACCTTGAGGTACTGCTTGGTACTTACCGACCTTGAGGTACTGCCTAGTACTCACCGATCCTAAGGTACTGCCGCGTATCAGGCATGTAGCGAGGCCAAGCTACAGCTGCGAATCCCGGCGAGGGCGACTCTCTCGGCAGGTTGGGGTCTCTGGTGAAGGTAAACACGCGTCAGCGGTATTACAATACCTGGATGTAAACACACAGCTCCCATACTAGTCTGGGGGAATGCCACCATACTAGTACCCGAGCGGAAGGGTAGAAGTTACAAGAAGAGTCTACGGGAACTAAACCTCACGTCGTTGGAAGAAAGAAGAGTTAGGGGAAACATGATCACTACATACAAGATTCTCTGAGAAATTGATAAGTTATATTAAGACAATTTATTTAACACAAAGTGACACAAGTGGATTTTTACTACCCAGATGAGACACAGGGACGTTAGAAAAAACTTTTTAGCGCTAGAGTAGGTAACAAATGGAATGCACTAGGAAGTGTTGTGGTGGAGGCAGACTCCATACACAGTTTCAATTGTAGATATGATAGAGCCTAACAGGCTCAGGACTCTGTACATCGGTTAATTGAGAGATGAGAGGCGGGATCAAAGAGCCGAAGACCAACCCCCCCGCAAGCTTTACTTGGTGAGTATAATGATAATGTATAACGAGTATACTGCATGAGTATAATGATACCGTATAACACACGTACACAGGTGTGTGTGTGTTATACAGTATCGAGAAAATATTAGCAAACCTAAACCTTTCTATAACGTATTCCATTGTGAATGAGTTGTGGAAAGGTTATTTACCTATCCCTTGACTGGTTGGTACAGCGAAGGCTTCATTTATTCACAGGGTTGGCGTTCAATACCCGAAGGTCAAGGTAGTTAGGTACCTTTTCTTCACCTCAACATCATATCCAATTTCCTTCTCCTTATATCCCTTCCAAGTGCTATATAGCCCATCTGGCTTAGTGCTTTCTCCTGATAATTACCTAGCCCTTACTACTTCAGAAAGCATAGTATCCTGTTTTTTGAAAAGATAATAGCTAATCTAGAAAGATAATGGTCAGTTAGAGGAAACAATAATTCAACGGTTCCTTAACAGATAATATTATGTGTAGGACAGATCCTGACTCCCTAGGTGTAATAAAGACAGATATACAGCAAACTCAGTGTCCAAAGTACTCCAGCGGAGAAAACACCAGTAAATGTTTATGTATCTGGATAATTGATATCAGGGGTTGTGTAAATGTTGTAGGTAAGATCGCAGAGCGTGAGAGCCTCAGGGTCTAAGATTACCAAAACACTAAAGAGGGCACTTACTACATCCGTAACTCTGGCTTCAGTTATAGCGGCCGTGACTGTATATATAAACAGTTTACGAGCTGCGAAGGGCTAAGACATCGTCAATAACAATGAGGTGAGGCCGACCTCGTAGAGGTTCAGAGCTCGTGATGTATCAACTGAGCTATCATTGTCGAGGTAAGATATATGGAGCCCGTAAGTGTACACTTTAAGAGCTCAGGAATCGAACAGCCTGGAGCCCTCACTCCCTGTGATCTTACATGCAACAATCAACAGTTGGCGAGCTTTTTTACCTACATAGATCTACAACTGCTGATGCTTGCTGTGCGTGTTCGATTTGTATACTCGCTGTCTTTGCAGTAAATGTGTCATATGGCCAGGATTCATCAATTTCTTCAACCAATTACGAAACCTGTACATTCTTCCTCAAACATAGATTGTTTCTTTACATTTATTATACATTTTACTAGCCTCGAAACTTCACAACCCCATGGTTATTATTGGTACAAACCACTTGTAGTGCTTCCAAGGTCATAAACTGTATAATAAATGTAAATGTAAGCCGTCTTAATTGAGGTAAAATGTATTGGTTTCGTAAACAGTTGATTCAGTGGTAGATGAATCCGGTCCCTGAGTCTACCCGGGTCGTGCCGTTCGTGTCTCGTTAGGACAAACAACGAGGCCAAATATGTATCAACAGGATATCGAAGGCAGAATCTATAACATTAATCCGAATAATCTACATTCAATAACAACAAAAATTAATAATTAATAAAGGATGTAATTATATAAATAAAAAAATTGATATAACACGTGTTTATTGTTTTGTTCTGCTTTGATCTTGAAAAAATACTCTACCATGAAATGTGTACCTAAATTAAAAATCCTGTTTAGTAACATCTACTCTCTGAAACCCAGCATTGTAAAAACAGTTTTAGAACGGCATTACTTTAATTAACGATAGGCGGAAGGAGGATTGAGGGGCAGAGGTAGAGTTCGGGGGTCAATTGTGGAGGGGGAATTGGTGGAGTTATTGCGAGGGAGGAGGAGGGGAAGGCCCCAATTACCGGCAGTAAAAGAAAATATATATAGCTCTCATATAAATGCCGACAGAGGTATTCGAATTTCTGTGACGATCGAGTGTTTTGTTTAATCTCGATAAATATATTGTCTCCGGGAGCCGTCATGTGGACCAAGCTGGTGGACGTCCACAAGGTATGCTGTCCCAGGTCGTGCCTTGTAACACATACTGACTAAGGTCGTGCATGGTGACACATACTGACCATTGTTGTGCATGGTGACACACACACACACACACACACACACACACACATATATATATATATATATATATATATATATATATATATATATATATATATATATATATATATATATATATATATATATATATATATATATATATATATATATATATATATATAACGCTGAACTGTAATGCCCATCTTGACCTTAAAAAGTTGTAACAGAACCCATGAGCACACCACCAGAAACAAATACCTTTTTGATATTCCAATAGTACGACTTAATCAAACTAGAAATGCTCTGCAAATCAAGGGACCCAGAATGTGGAATGACCTTCTTGCAGTTTTGTTTGCCATGTTCCCCCCTTTTTTATTTTTTATATTTTCTCAACACATTTTATACTTTAATCTCATTTAGTATTAAGTTTTAGTCTTTAGTGTTTTTTCCTGCCCGAAACGATTTGCGTAATAGTGGCTTTAGGCATTGTATGTACTAGCTCTATCTATAAATCCATCAATATATGTATCACCCCTTGTATGTATGTACTTTACCCGAAGAAACATTTGAATTTTTAAGTTGAATTTTAAACATAAATTATTGACTTAGTAATGTTAGTTTAGGCTAGGTTAAGATAGGTTAGGTTAGGTTAAGTAGGGTAGGTTCCGTTCGGTCATGTATCAACGTTAGTTTTAACTCAAATTAAAAATTACTTATTCATAATAATATGGATAACTTTATCATTTCATAAAAAAAAAATGAAAAATATCAAATATCAAAATTCAGGGAAATTTGACTTATTAGGCAAATCGGGTCGTGAATACTAGGCCGAGTATTGCGTTCTACAAAACGGCTGTCTACTATCCGTTTTGTAGATTGCTGGGAGCTAACATACTTATGTATAAGGGTTGAATAAATTATCTTCCAACGAGGTGGTGTATCAGGACAAGGTTGTGTGGCTATCCATGCACCGTACCTTACTACGACGCAGTCAATGACTCGTAGTCAACTAGGTTTAGCGGCAGTGAGCAAGGCCGTCAACGCTCCACTAAATGATAATAATTTGCACGAACTCTGCAGCTCTGGGTCGCTCTTGGCGACTCTGCCTGAGATGGACGACGCACTCAACGGAGTCATCGTCGGCGGCTAAACGACCAGTTTTAACCTAACGATGAATTTAAAAGTTGGTCAGTGCCCTATGGAGCGGGCCAAAGGCGGCGCAGAGGACCCTCAAGTGCTCAGTTAATGGTGTTTTACGAGAGGCTGCAGGCTCAGGCTGATAGCAGAGTGACTCCAAGTGCCGCCTTCAGCAAGATTTATACCTTCTAGTGCCACAGGAATAGTGTGATGGGAGAGGGGAACTCACAATATTTCGTGTTATACAGAGGAAATAAGAGAGTGTAAAAGGAAAGTCAAGCTTGCATCATGTACATATATTTACAAATACGAAGATAAAAAAAGTATTTATTATTAAGAGAGCCTGAAATTTATTTCTAACCCGAAAACGGTTGCCCCTGATGAAAAGACTTTCAAGAAGAAGCTCATTTACAACTTTGGAAAAATATACAATATCGCTGTGTGTGTGTGTGTGTTTACCTCAATTTACTTTCAGCCTCGCGCTCGCTGTGGACAGAACACACACCAAACGATTGCAGTCTTCGCTCTCAGAAAGACGAGGGAAATAGCTTGATTCATAGAAACGAGTGATAGCAATGGAAATGATACGGGATGCTCGCTAGACACTTGAAGGTGATCGCTAGACACGCAAAGATGTTCGCTAGACACACATGAAGATGTTCGCTAGACACACATGAAGATGTTCGCTAGACACACGAAGAAGTTCGCTACACGCGTAAAGATATTCACTAGATGTCCACTAGACACACGAAAAGTAATTTTCGACATAATTATATTACAAAATTAGTTTTATTATAATGTGTTCAAGTGTAAATTTGACTGGAAACATAAACGGTAAATGATCAACTAGTTTGCGTAATTGGGCATGAGCAACAAGGACAGTAATAAGAACTGCGTAAGGAGGAATAAGTAAAAATCCAGGGAAGTGATAAACATAAGTAATAGGTTAGTGGAGTGAGTGTGTTGGACGTATGGATTCCATTTATACTTCATCAGCTGATATTATGATTATATACAGTTATCTACTCATATTGTAGGTATTTAATTATACCTGTTTTGCCTCACAGTTCTCGAAAATATTTTTATACAGTTTACAAAAAAAAAAACTTACCCCGACTTGGCGAAATTTGTGAGAAGGCTGATGACGTCTTCTGAGAGCTGCGTCAGCGCTGGAGGTCTGATGGGAGGGGACGGAGCCCCAGGTGAGCTGGTAACGTCACTGAGGCCAGTTCCCCAGACCAATCCAAGCTCCCAGCCTGGCGCCTGGATCTGCAGAGAGCGAGGACAGAAGGCAGAAACTGAGAGCGACTGTCCTTGGAGTGTAGTTTCCTCAAGAAAATGTACTCTTACACTTGCAAATATTTCTACAAATGCACATCCCTGCGCGCATGCACGCACACACACATACACATATTCTTGAGATATTAGAAAGAACTTTTTTAGTATCAGAGTACTTGACAAATGGAATGCATTAGTAAGTGATGTGGTGGAGGCAGACTCCATACACAGTTTCAGGTGTAGATATGATAGAGCCCAATAGTCTCACGAACCTGTACACCAGTTGATTGACAGTTGTGAGGTGGGACCAAAGAGCCAGAGCTCAAACCCCTCAAGCACAACTAGGTGAGAACACACACACACACACACACACACACACAAACAAGGCATGTATAGATGAACTGCAGAAGGCAGCAACACTAGCCCACAGAATGAGAGCGAAGCTGCTGATCATGGGGGACCTAAATCATGGAGAAATAAATTGGGAATCAAGGAATCCCCATGGAGGGGAAGAAACGTGGGGAGCAAAATTAGTAGATGTTATAGACAGGAATTTCCTAACACAACATGCGAAGGAAGACACATGGGAAAGAGGAGGAGATGCACAGAGCCTATTACACCTGATTTTCACCAAGAACGTAGAAGATATCGAGAATTTAGAGCATGAAATACCTCTAGGGGCCAGTGACCATTGTGTCCTAGTCTTTGACAACATGATGGAATTCAAACTTATGACCATGGGACAAGAGATCTGGGAAAGGAGAGTTGACTACAGGAAAGGGGACTATAAGAGGATAAGGGACTATCTGGGTGAAGTGCAGTGGGAGGAAGAGATTAGAGGAAAAACAGTCCAAGATATGATGGACCTAGTCATACAGAAATGCCAGGAGGCCGAAGAGAGATTTATACCAACAGTAAAGGGAAAAAATAAGATGGAATATATTAACCCAGGGTTTAATAGACAGTGTCAGGAAGCAAAAATGGCCAGCAGGCGGGAGTGGAGGAAGTACAGAAGACAAAGGACAGAGGACAACAGGATCAGATGCAACAGAGCTAGGAACGGTTACATTAACATAAGACGAACATCGGAAAGAGACTATGAGAACGATATTGCAATCAAAGCAAAAAAACAACCTAAGTTACTACACAGTCATATAAGAAGAAAATGTCGGTGAACGACCAAGTGACAAGACTAAGGAAGACAGAGGGGGCATATACTGAAAGTGACAAGGAAATCTGCGAGGCACTCAATGCCAGTTTCCATGGAGTGTTCACTACCGAGCCTGAGCAGCTCCCATTGTTGGAAGGGGTTACCCTAGATGAAAGACTATCAGATATAGAGGTGACAGCAGAGGAGGTAATGAAACAGTTGACAACATTGGATGCAACCAAAGCAGTTGGATCAGACAAAGTATCACCGTGGATACTAAAAGAGGCAGCGCAGGCCCTCAGCGTGCCTCTGGCAATGATCTTTAATGAGTCACTTAGGTCGGGAGAATTGCCCAGTTGCTGGAAGAAGGCAAATGTCTTGCCGATTTTCAAGAAAGGCGATAGGGAGGAGGCACTTAACTACAGACCTTATCACTGACAAGAATCCCCTGTAAAATACTGGAAAGAATAATTAGGTTACGACTGGTTGCACACCTGGAGAACATTAGGTTTGTGAACAAACATTAACATGGGTTCTGGACAGGGAAATCGTGCCTAACAAACCTTCTGGAATTCTATGATAAAATAACGAGGATAAGACAGGACAGAGATGGTCGGGCAGACTGCATATTTCTGGACTGCCAAAAAGCCTTTGATACAGTACCGCACATGAGACTGCTGTTCAAGCTCGAGAGGCAGGCGGGGGTGGGGGGAAAGGTCCTAGCATGGATAAGAAACTACCTAACAGGAAGGAGCCAAAGAGTTACGGTAAGGGGCGAGAAGTCGGACTAGCGAACAGTAACAAGTGGAGTACCACAAGGATCGGTGCTGGGACCAATTCTATTTCTTGTATATGTTAACGACATGTTTACAGGCGTAGAGTCCTACATGTCGGTGTTTGCGGATGACGCAAAGTTGATGAGAAGAGTTGTGACAGATGAGGATTGCAGGATCCTCCAAGAGGACCTGAACAGGTTGCAGAGATGGTCAGAGAAATGGCTACTGGAATTCAACACGAGCAAATGTAAAGTTATGGAAATGGGACTAGGAGATAGGAGACCAAAGGGACAGTACACAATGAAGGGGAACATCCTACCTGTGACGACGCGCGAAAGAGACCTGGGTGTGGACGTAATACCTAATCTATCTCCTGAGGCACATATTAATAGGATAACGGCAGGAGCGTACTCTACACTGGCAAAAGTTAAAACATCATTCAGAAACCTAAGTAAGGAGGCCTTTAGGGCGCTTTACACTGCCTACGTGAGGCCAGTCTTAGAGTATGCCGCCTCATCATGGAATCCCCATCTGAAGAAGCATATAATGAAACTGGAAAAGGTTCAGAGGTTTGCAACGAGACTCGTCCCAGAGCTACGAGGGATGGGGTATGAGGAGCGCCTGAAGGAACTGTGCCTTACGACACTAGAAAGAAGAAGGGAGAGGGGGGACATGATAGGAACGTATAAAATACTCAGAGGGATTGACAGAGTGGACATAGACGAAATGTTCACACGGAATAGTAACAGAACGAGGGGACATGGATGGAAGCTGGAAACTCAGATGAGTCACGGAGATGTTAGGAAGTTTTCTTTTAGCGTGAGAGTAGTGGGAAAATGGAATGCACTTCAGGAACAGGTTGTGGAAGCAAATACTATTCATAATTTTAAAACCAGGTATGATAGGGAAATGGGACAGGAGTCATTGCTGTAAACAACCGATGCTCGAAAGGCGGGATCCAAGAGTCAATGCTCGATCCTGCAGACACAACTAGGTGAGTACAACTAGGTGAGTACACACACACAGAATAAAAATAAACAGATTTCGTGGACAAACATGTACCTCACACATAAGCGGAGATGATAGACGGACTCGAGATCTCGCTTGTTTCTCCTCTGGGATTTAAATCACTCAATTCCTCGTGGGATGCGCCAAACTTTTTATTTTATGAACCTCGAGAACACGAGACCTCTCATAGTATTATAGACAGGAATAAGGATTCATATATTCCTGAACCCGTGTCGTCAATGCTCCCATGATAGTGTCATGAAGGGAGTGTTACTAAACAGAGGGAGATTCAGATGAGGGCCGAGGCATGTAAGGTGAGGGGGAAAGGCACAGAGAAGTAAGGGGGAAAGAGGCAGTGGGGTGAGGTGAGGGGGAAGAGACAGTAAAATTTCGTGAAGGGGGAGAGGCAGAAAATATGGGAGAGGAAAGTAAACAGGGTGAGGAAGAGCAAGGCGAGGGAGATAATTTGTAAAGTTTGATGAGGGGGAGCAGCAAAATAGTGAGATGAGGGGAAGAGGCACCAGAGTAAGATACTAGGGAGAGCTAGATATGCAGAGACATTGGAAGACAGAAATAGATGAGGGCGAGTGAAAGTAAGGGACAGGTGAGAGGAGAGACAGTTGATGAGAGAGGTAAGTGAGGGAAGAGACAGGCGAGGAGAGGCATTAGTCTTACCTGTCCCGGGACCCTGTTGGCAAGGTCACAGAGGAACATGAAGACCTTGGTATGGTGAGCCAGGGCGTCTGCCGCCTGGTGGAGCGGCGCCACCACGCCAGCGTCCCCCAACAGGTGAAACAATAGGTTCCTGCGCACGTCTGGACTCTGCTTCACCGCCGTCCAGTCCGTGTACTCCTGCAGCGCCGCCGCCAGCACCTCCCGCAGGTGGTGATGGCGAGTGTTTCGGACCCAAGTCCTCGCCACGCGCTCGAACGTCATATTATCCACTCCCTTAGTGACCAGAGATTCCCCGAGCCACGCCCACGCCTCCCACGGGGTGAAGCCTATCATGACCTGGATGTGTTGCCTCCCCAGCGACGCCCCACGCCGCGCCCCTGCCACCACCACGCCATCCTCACTAGGGCCCCACGCCGGCATGAAGGCTGGAGACACCACCTGCCGCGCTGCCTGCATGAGCGCCTCCAGCGGCGCCGCGCGGAGACACGACACCGTGCGCGGGTGCGCGGCGGCAGGGTCGTCTGGCACGGGACACCCTGCAGCCATGGCCAGACGCAGGGTGACGCTCAGGGGTGCCGTCACCCTGGACCATGAGCACCCTGACCAACCGGACACCAGCACCACGCGGTGGAACAGTCCTGCAAGGATGGCACCAGAGGTTACGATTGTTCAGGCGACGTGGAGCGTTAAGACTGGCGTCTTTTATGTTCAGGTACATCAACATCAACGACTCCACATACACAATAGTACTGAAAAAACTAGATACATAAACGTATATAAAAACCTTTACTCTAACGCTGAACAAACACAAATGTCAAACTATTTACTTTTCCTAATTTGACTTTTGGGAATGAAAACTTTTACTCTCACTAAATTTTTAAATAAAATAGTATTTAGTGAAGCCCACTGCTGTATTAATATTGAAAAAAATATTTATTTTAAGAAGCCGTTTCCGTTCATAAATTTTGAGCAGGAAAATATTGTTTTGGTGTTGGTGGGCTTTTGACCTATTAACCGCGAGAGGGTTATTAAGGCCACCACATCACCTTACTTGTCATGTGGTGGCCTCACATAACCAACAAGTACATTTTAGTCCAGGACTAAACTGAACTCGTAATATATATATACACATAGAGAACCTAGGTACACTTCTCAGTGTAGATACACCGAGAAGCTGGGTGTTCTCAGTGTACATGTACAAGTGAGAAAAATATTTTCTTTTGACACGAACATATTTACTCTAGTTAGACCATATATCTAGGGGACAATGCTTTAAAATACATACATTAGAAAACAGAAAAAAAGGTATACACAATATATATATACATTAATTTAAGGAAATTAATTTTTTGCAGTATACAAATTGATCTCAGTACACATCAATAGTTTCCATATGGTAATTTAAGCTTTTGAATTCAGTTTTAATCTTAGCATTCTCAAGAGCGAATACTTCTTAGCAAAACCTTAGCATTATTTGGGAATGGCTTAAGAAATTATTAATTCTGAAATACCTGCATAGGTAACAATCTGGTGTTTTCCGTCAATCATTTCCGAAATGGATCTACCAGCATACGGCTACTTCCGCTGTCTTATTTAGTTAGTATTGGAAATAATCTAACCTGAAAGCACGATGGGACTTTTTATGAGGTAGAAGATTCAGATCGCGCCAGTATGCCTCCCAAAGAGAAAATATACTAACCTGGAGGCACGATGGGACTCTCCATGAGGTAGGAGACACAAGCCGCGCCGGTGTCCCTCCCGAAGAGCGTCACTCTCGTGGGGTCTCCGTTAAATTGCTTGATGTTCTCCCCGACCCAGTTGAGAGCTGCGATCTGGTCCAGCAGGGCAAAGTTACTGACGACGCCTCCTGCTCCGCCCCCGTAGGTGTTGAGGAACCCTGCAGTGGACACATTGGCCAACTCACGTCTAGATAATGGGACACCAGCCAACGACGCGGACCGTGGCTAGACGTTATAAAAGCAATTGAATAATGTGTGGCACAT